TGAAACGGAGAAATCAGTCATTGTTACTAAGGCTAAGTAAACAAATTAATTAATAGCTTTTTATTATCGTAAATGTCACGAATAACAATAATTTTCAGAAGTTGCAATCTTATCTTAATATCTTTATTCTTCAAGATTTATATGCTTTGGAGATAATTTTTAACAAACTTTTATCGCTTAATTTATATATATATATATATATATATATATACACACACACTATATAATATTGTTTAATATACTTTAACATCAGACAAATTCTATGTATTGTAGAATGCAGAAAGAGATGGAGGAACGATTGAAGCAGCTTGCTCAAGAATTCAAAGAAGCAACCAATATCCGTATAGCAAACATGATGCATAACGCGATCAGGAGGAACATCGCGTTGAATCACGAGCTGAATTCGATGTTGAAGGTTTGCCAGAATCTGGAAACGAAGAGCGCGGAATGCAAAGAAACCGATCGTGCGCTCAGATTGCAGTGCGAATTGCTCGAAGGCGAAGCCAAAATAGCGCAGGAAGATGTAATAAAGTACAGACATGCGATGCATGATTTCGCCAAAGAATACATAAACACGATCCTTGAATACGGTCGAATACAACGTGAGAACATGAGGCTCAGCCATTACGAGGAAATAATGAAGGAATAAAGGTTCTCGAGCGACATTTACAGGAGACCAAAAAGATTCGGGAGGAAGTCCTGATGGAAGTGCGAAAGAAGTGCAAGGAATTCAATAACTTGAACAAGATTCTGAACGAAACCAAACAATGCGTCCTGGAAGCGTTAGAGGTATCGTTTCTTTGAACAGACATGCAAATGTATAGAGTTCTTCAATAGCACATATACATTCAAATCTTAAACTCATGAAGGAAAACCACTCTTTGAACCTTGGCTTCTTCCTGATTTTGTTACAGTTGCAATTTTTATCTTGTAAACTCATTAGATAGAAATATATACGTGGTCACAAATAAATACATGAAAAAATTGAATTATTATTATACAATAACAATAACATGTATATTTTTTATATATTATTGTTAAGTTAATTATTATTAAATTATCATTAACAGTTACACGTAAAGATTTAGATACGAGCATGTATCGCAAATGTGTCTCAATATACAATTTAAGATATTTATCTTTCTCATTTATACGATAAAAAAAAAATCATTCTACATGATAAATCATTCTATATGATAAAAAAAAATCATTTTATATGATAAAATATAAAAAACAATTATTTTTCAGTTGCAAGAGCATGTTTGCACAAGTGATACTTGTACTTCATGTTGCGCTGATCAGAAACAGAAGATTATTTATTCGCTGCAGAATATACTCGAGAAGCATATTTCCGATGTAGTCGAAGATGATGATTCACAGGTAAGATGTGTCACGTAATAATACAATATAATGCTACGTAAATAAGAAGACATGACGCAGAATAATTTTACATGACTTCAGTATTTCTTAATACGATTTCCATTAGGTATTGTAATATTAAAAAATTTTGAAAGATTTATATGAGCAACAAGAGAGATAATACACACGAACACACGCACACACATATATGTTTTATTATTATATACATTTAATATTTATATTCATGTAATATGTCAAAATTTATATTCTTAAAAATATACTTCTAAGGATAACAATAGAATAATGTTTGCTGTTTTAATTAATATATGAATAGCTCCTTAAAAAAAACTTAAAAATCATTATAATTTCAGGTGATGAAAACCGAGGATAAATCTTTGGAGTAAGATTTCTTGTTCTAATACACGCAGAAAGAGAGTTGGCTTCTGATTAATATTTATATGCAGAAAGGCAGCTCAGTTTTATCAAGATTTCTGTATATATCTCGCGATACATTCATAAACTGATTACGTGAAGGAAAATATGCGTATGCGCAGAACAGAGCGTGTGTAGCGTTATTTATTTCTTTGAGGGACTCGCTAGCAATCTCGCCAAGTTTCCATCGCTTACATTATCATCACACAGAAATTGCAAAAACAATTATGAGATGTGCAAGGCAGCAATAAAATTTAGTTCTTTGTCGGATATGATTAAGGCTGATATACATAGCAAATGCTGCACGTGCATTTACAGAGCGAGGTTAAGCTGGATGAATGTACACTAGCTGCATAGCATGGTCGGGCTTGAAATCATCGTGAGAAAATACATGAATATCTATAAAGCATCAACATTATACAAGGCAGCGCGTCATTTGCATCACACGCAGGTCGATACCTGCGGTTGTATTACTCGCGCCTCCGTGACTCCGCGAACCAACAATGCATTCTCTTGTGTTTCATTCAAATCTCCAGTAAGAGAAGTGATACGCGATTGTTGGAAATTTGGACATTATGGAAGATAGAAGAAAGGGAGAGAACATTACAGTTTTGAACGACGATCTGGAGTTTTGGATGACTCGGTTTCCGGCGCCACTCAAAAATATACCCATAATACATCTGGCGATACCCGGTACGTTTAAATCACTCTGCTTGATGCGCAGTTACATTCGTGCCTGTAGAAATTGAGATATTTACACGAGAGATAAGTTCATTATTCAATTAAGATTAAGTTTCATTATTCAATTTATATTCATTTGTAAATAATGAAATGTATGATATTTTGACTTAATAAGCTTCGATAAAAGATAAGAATAATTGCAAGAGAAAGTTCCTTAATTTATATTCATCTACAATTGTTGACTTAATATCTTTACATTGAAACATTAAAGATTCTTTGATATTATAGGCATTTAATTTCTAGTTTATCGATTGTGTTCTCACATACGGTCTAAAATAAGAGTCTTATTAATATCTTTGTTTTTTGCATTACTCTCCGAAATATATTTGTGTAAATGAAACTTAATTTTTATTTAATTATCTACAAGATACAACTTGATAATTTCCAGGTTCTCATGATACCATGACTTATACGATCGATAGACACAACGACGTGGGACCAGATGAACCTGCTTTCGTTCGAACGCTCGGCCGCTACTGTTCATTCGTTGCCAAGCCCATTATTTTAAATTGGTCTATTACACAGCGCGATGATATCAAGCAACAACTTAATGGCGGAATCCGATATTTAGATCTGCGCGTTGCCACGAAGCCGGGAACCAATAATATATACTTCCTTCACGGTCTGTACGGTGCAGAAATCAGCAAGCCACTTCTCGACGTGGCTAACTGGCTTAGCTCGCATGCGAATGAGATCGTTATCCTGGACTTGCAGCATTTCTATGCCTTCAAGGAAGTGGATCATAAACGTCTCATAGACAAAATAACTCAAATTTTCCGCGGAAAATTGTGTCCGGTCTCATCCAGATTTCATCATATAACACTACAATGGCTAGTCCTAAAGAGATACCAGGTGTTCGTGATTTACAGAAATGTTTATGCGCGTAATTACACGAATTTATGGCCATCCGGTCTCTGGCGTACCGTGTGGCCCAATACCATACGCGTGGACGAACTGATTAATTTTTTGAATATTGAACTACAGAGCAGATCATTGGACATTGCATTCATATCGCAATGCCTCCTGACGCCGGATACACTCTACGTCATGAAACATTTGTGTGGTACCTTGCAAAGAGATCTAGTGTCTCGCTGTCAGAAAGAAATTCTCTCCTGGATAAGTCAGAAATATCCTGGTCGCGGCGGACTTAATATAGTCATAGCGGATTTTGTATCGGATAGCAACTTTCTATTTTCCAAAACAGTTATCCAGAGTAATATGAAACTTTTGCACAGTTAGTTAATTTAATTTTACTTCTGCTTTAAAATATAAATAACATATATAATAATAGCAAAACTGTAGATCAAATATTTTCATCTGTCTTAGTGAAGGAGATATCTTTAAATTCAAAACTGCTTAACTCTAGCTAGAAGTATCAATGTTTTTTATTCATTAAAGATTAAAATTGAATAGTGAATGAACTACTATGAAAATAAAAAAAATGATAAAAGACCAAATATTTCATTAGGATGCAGTTAAAAAGTAAAAAAATTTCAGAATCCTATCTTTTACACAAAACATATTAATATAAAAAATATTAATATAAAAAATGACAGTTTGATACTTTTAGTATTAAAATATTTGTATAGTGTGCTTACTTAAGCTAATTCTACAATGTGCTCTTTGTTTCCTGTGCTGTTTATCTCTTGCCTTTTTTGGTCAATAAAACAAGAGATAAATAGCAAGAAACAGAAAATAAATAGCACATTGTAGAATTAGCCTTAATGACCATTAATTATTATTCAAATTTTCAATTTTACACTTGGCGTGTAAAGTCGTAAATAAAATTAATATAAAAAAGGTTAACATTCAAACTTAATATATATATATATATATTTCGAACTAATCGGTTTTACTTAGACAATTACATATTTCTGCTAAGCTATTGTAATTATAAATATTTATGCTAAGTATACTATGGCACATTACTTGGAAAACAAATGATTAATTATTATGCACAATAAATAATATATTTTTATCTCGCATTTTACAAGCTTAATGATTTTGCCTTCAAACTTCAATTTATATGATGGGAGGGGGATGTAATAATATAAAAAATATTAAACACATCCAAACAATTGTGTTATATATTATTGGATGTATTGATAATTAAATTATTTATAACTGAACTAATGATGCATTTATCTCAGATGTGAGAAAAAGAAAGTTTTTGGAATATTAATACGGATTTCTTGAATACAAATGCTGTTTTAGTAAAAATGTTGGTGTTAAAGGAAAATTTTGTGGATATTTTATTGTATCAGTTCGTTGATATAGCATTAAAAGAGATATGATATTATTTATGTATATATAGTATTCGTTAAATTTTATTATTCTTTTTTTTCAACAGGGAATATTATATATCTCTATAATATTTAAGTATGTAAGCTGGCAGTAGGGCAAAAAAAATATACGTTACACAACAAACAACTTACAATTCGCAGGACAAAAACTTACATTTTTTCACAGTCGTTTGTACTTTCTTTAATAAGTTCGATATTTCATGTAAGAGAACACTGAGTAAATATATAAATCTCAATGAAGACATAAGTTATTTCGTAGATAATTTGGACGAAGTACAATTCCATTGGAATTACTCACGAATTTTTCTTTTTGGATATGGAGAGAGTAGCAGATTTGTTTAAAATGTACATCCCACTTGTTAATTCTGATTATATCACAAAGCTTTCACTTTAAGTTGCTTCATTCTTGGAGCACGTTTTTTGGCCAATCTTCGTTGTTCCTTTTCTTCCCATTTCCGTTGTTTATCGGGATCTTCCTCTTGGAGAATTCTTTCTTGCTCGGCTCTCCGACGCTCCTCTCGTCTTTGAGCCGCAGCTTCTGCCCTTGCGGCGTGCGTTGTTTTCAGGAAGGCTTCTTCCACTCTGAGTCGATTTTTATCCGCTTTATTTTTACCCTACATACATAACAAAATTCATAATATAAATTACAATAGTTTAAAGATGTATATTCATTAAAGTAAAGAAATACATACCTCTTTAGATAATTTAAAACGTCGTAGCTTATCAATTAAATAGAAAGCAAGTTGAAGTAAAGGTTTGAGTTTTTCTTGAGTCTCTAGATTACTCGTGCGACCCTTGAGACTTATATTCAGACTCATCAACAATATTCTTTTAACTTCAGGCATTGTTAACTGAGTAGTATCTCTAGAATTAAACGACATTAATATTGGAAATATTATTTGGCATTAAATTGACTATTTATTCTAAAATATGTGCATTCTGTATATTTTATTTATTTGAATCATTGTTTAATATGCACAGTTCATTTTTACTTACTCTTGGGGTTTGCGTCCACTGAATTGATCACTAATGTGAATATATTCTATATAAGGCGCAAACTTTGTGAAGGCTTGCTGAATCCTGGTGTCTAAAATAGCTGCCGTTGCTTCTGGAATCTCAGACATTACGTAAAAGCCTGATGGAAGACCGAATTTTTCCCCAGATCGTTTTTCCGGGCAATATACGCTAATATCAGCCATGTCGCGCACTAAATGCATCGCTAACCGCTTTGTGGCAACTGCTAAAACGAAATTATCTATTTCGTCTTTTGAGAGTTCCACTTCTATGTGAATTTGATCATTTTGCGGGCGTACCAATTGAGCTAATATAGCGACTAAGTCTTGTCTCTTTATTAATTTCAATTCTATAAGCATCGAATCACAGCCGACACGTCCGGAACAATATAAACTGTACTGCGATTCACTCTGTCTTATGAAACCATTATCATTTGCATTCTCATTCGATTTGCCTGAATGACCAATGAGAGAAAAATTATCCATCAAAAGCTGCTTATGATCTATTAACCATTGCTCAACTATATGAGCATTTTTTGTACGTCCTACAATATAATTTATAAAGTATACTACTAGTCCAGTGATCATTAATATTTCTAAATAATAACTGTCCCATCTTTCCCGCAAATGGAATGGGACTTTTGTAATAGTCAACGTGGAAGGTTCATCGTTTTTTGGACCAGTGTTGCCCCCAGCAACGTCCAGTCCTTCAAATTCCTCTTCATCTTGAAAATGATCAAATTCACTGTCACCATCTGTAACTAAGACATCGTCCTCCTCGAAATCTTGATTCAATTCTTCTTCTGGAGGTATTTCTGGTGCACGTTCAATAAGCACACTTGGCTTTTCCTCTTCAAAATCTTCAAATTCTGCAAACTCATTATCCTCAGGTACTTCTTCCTGGAAATGGGCTGTAACCCATAGATTAGTAACGACCAATGTGATGTGTGCTATTACTATCCACAATTTCATGTTACCTAAAACAGTAAGCAAAAAAAATATGTAACTTATATTTTGCACTATAATTGTAATTCAAATAATAAGCTTGCTATCATATAAACATATAAAATTTCTTGATACCCAACAAATTCTTTTTCTATTAAATTCTAATTTTTTGTCAATATTTAGTCTAAATTAATACATAGAGTAATATTGTCAAAATAGATGTATTAAATAATATAATAAATATATTATATAATATCAAATAAATTATAAGAATATATTGTTTGTTAGAATTTTTTTTCCAAACAAATAAGCTCTGATATAGCAATATCTATAAAAACGAATTGATAAATGAGAACTAATAATTGAGATCAGTTATCCATTTAATGGAATTATCATCTTATGGAATTATTTTGAATTAATCTTATATTAATAAGATAATAAATTTATCAAAAATATATTACAACAATATATACAGAAAATATCACAAACATATTAAGGCAGTATGATAATCATACAGAATGATAATCAAAAAATTGACAAATCCAATGTTATTTTGCAATGAAAATAAAATAAATACTACTCTGCAGAAAAAACTCATCATTTTTATTAGTATATAATACATATTTATGAACTTGTAAAAATAAACATTAAAAAGCTGAAAATTTAGCTGGTTTCACTGATTCAATATGTATGCTTATATCTCAACTTGAATAGCCATTTCTACAAAAGGAATTTATCTGAAATTTTTTGAAAACAGTTTACAGTTATTAATGTTAGAAAATGTATTTAATTTTGAAAAACTTTTCAATTATTCAATATTGTATAAATTTAGAGGGTAATCTTGAAAATATCAATAAATCACCTAATCAGGCAAATATATTAGCAAAAATGATAAATTTCTTCTACAGAATAGTGTTCAATTCATTTTTCGATTTGTCCATTCATCACAAGATAAAATTATTTATTTTTCGGAGCAATCTTCTGATTGTCAACCTGTACATTTAAGGAGAGATTAATTACTGTTCTCTTCTTTGACGGATAAAATTTTTGTTTCATGTATTAGTTTAAGTATGTATATAGCGTTTTGTGAATATGGAATGCCAGATTAAAATGCAGCCAGTGGCTGAGTTCGACGCGATTAACCTATCGTGTGTCATAGAATTCTAACGTGATACGACGTCTCACCAGTGGATGTAGATTTTTATGTATAAAAATATCAATTTCTCGTCAATTTCTCATCGATCTCAATTTGAAATGATGTCCGATTAATTACAACAGATACTATAATGACGAGTTGACGACCTCCTTGTCGAAAGGTAGACGATTCGCATTACCTTTATTCGCTCTATGACATGAAAGTCACCGCAAGTCACCGTGTGCCTGACGTCACTTCCTCAAAACGAAAGATTGGCTACATTCAGAAAACAGCGATTCGCTGAGCAAAAGTGGAAAATTTACAAATATCGATCTTTATCAAATGTAGATTGAGAAAGAATTATTATTCTTTACGAAGGCTCACGTATCTAATTAAAAATTATGGATAAAAGAGGCTATATTCTATAATTTTTATTTTATTCTTAAATTTTTACAGTGATAAGAAAAATTATTCTCCATTTGAACAAGAGAAGAATAAGAAGAAAAATTCTATTTTCCTAAAATTTTATTTATTACATATGCATTTTACAATGCTTTATGCTGTATTTATAAAATTTATTTTTATAAATTATCGCATGTATTACATTACATTTTTATATAACATAAAATCACATGTAAATATTGTGCGAAATATGTAATTTACAATATGATGTTACGGAATTTTTTTTTATTTTGGGCTACGTTCCAAAACTTTCTCTCCGAGAAAATTTTACTCGAAATATAGTACACATAATGTATACTATAGTATATAGAGTAAAAAATCTTCCTCGAAAAAGAAGTTTTGGAACGTAACCTTGATATAATTTTTACAACTAAGGGCCACTACGGCCAACTCCAATTAACTGATCGGCGATTAGTTCATTGAAATTGACCAATCGCATTTGTCATTTCATTTAACAATAGACTAATCGTCGATTAAAGTTAAATAGGAATTAAATAGGAGTTAAATAGGAGTTGGTCGAAGTGGTCGTTAGTCTTTTATTTCATGGAAAGAAAAGAAATGAAGAATTCGGATTGGTTGATTTTCTTAAGTCTAAAGGATCGTTTATACTGATCATAATCTTTAACTTATGCCGTAATCTATAAGAATTCACCAATCATAGTTGATAGTTTCCCTCGTATTCATTCAACTGTAATGGGTCAATTTCTTATAGCTTAAAATACCTATTGTAGATCCGGATTTAAGAAATCGATCATTCACAGTCAAATGTGAGAAGAATATTCGACTATGATTGGGCAGTTCCTTAAGACTTAAGGCTTACTACACTCTACTGAGTTTGCGGGGTAAGTCCGGATCTACAATAGATGTTTTAAGTCTTAAGCCATAAGAAACTAACCAATTAGAGCCAAATTCGAGAAAAATAATTGATTGAGATTCGCCCATTTCTTATAGCTTAAGGTTTAAAAATCTATTGTAAAGTCCGGATCTACAATAGGTGTTTTAAGCCTTAAGGTCCAATTTCACAATTTACGGCAAACTCTTAACCGAGGTTCAACTTATTCATTATCTCTTTCCTATTCTAGAATTGGAAAGAGATGAGAAACAAGTTGAACCTCGATTAAGAATTAACTATAAGTTGTGAAACTGGGCTTAAGTCGTAAGAAATTGACCAACTACAGTCGAATACGAAGAAAATAATTGATTATGATTTGTCCATTTCTTAATAAATATTGCACACATATGTACAAATTTTATAATTAACTAATCTTTTATATTAGGTATCTAAGCCTAATTCTAAAAACACAATATTATTTGTTCATGCAATTTCTAGTTCAAATCGTATAAAGTATAAAACAAACTTGATTTGTATATAATAAAGCAAATATTATTGCGAGTCGATGTCAGAAGCCGATACAACAAAATTTAATAATTTTCCAACTTTTTTTCACATAAAGGTTTGACATAAAGTCGATCGATTTGAACTACATTATCACTTATATATTTTAATTGTGGAAGATTTTTAAATCTACAATATAAAAGCAGTTAGAAAAATACTTTCTTAAAAAATAAATCAGTAAAAAAAAACAGACAATATACCGCGAGGACAATACTGAGTCGATAAAGTAGAGTTCGCTCGGCGCGCCAGGCTCGACTTTCCCGACTCGTTTCGTCTCGTTCGATGACGGGACGAGATATCGATTTCAAGACCAAGCATTAGTCGCTTAGTCTAGCCGATAGCGGCGACAGCCGAACAGCCCGGCGTTACGCGGGCGAGGGATCTATTCGCCTACGTTTGACATTGACGCGTTTTATCTTCTTTCCTATCAGAGTTGTTAGAAGCATGTCACTTACGCGTAGCACGAGTGTCGTAAAGTGAACGATCGCGCGTATCGGCGCGTACCGATTAACGCTTCTCGATTCGCGATACTTGTCGACTCTCCCCTGTCGCGCGCTCTGCGCGAGAATCAATATATGCGGGCAAGAACGACGGCGACTCGTTGACAACAAATCCTTTGGCTAAATAATGGATCAATACCGACACTTCACAACGGAGGGAAACACGTAGAAACGGTAATAAATCAACGCAAACGGATTCCTTACACTCCATTGTGCGCAGAGGATTTTGCTCGTCGCTTCTTTCCCCTTGACATTACGTGACGTTACGTGACGTGCATGTACATTTTGTATATTTAACCCTTAACCGTACGGTAAGTACTGCGGATTCTATCGTCTTTGCGTCTTAGTATAACGTATAAAAAAGGTAGTCTCAACCAATTATTTTTTTTGTGATTTGTTTTTAATTTATCGGGTGCCTAGTTCTCTGTGAACCCATACAAGCTCTCGATCAACGTTACTGATAGATAATTATAAATATACTTTTTTTAATAAATATCAAATTTAATTTATGTAGTGTTTTATGTAGTCTTTTAGGTTTTTTCTTGTCGAAAATATTCTATAAAAATGTCCTAAAGTTATTGACAATTTTTGTATCTTGGCACAGCGCATAAAAAAGGAAGATTCCACGATTATTTTCTTGTGGTTATTTTATTTTCAAATTTATAGGATAATTCCTTGCGTATTACAAATTCTTGGGGTCGACGGAAAATAAATATATCAAATTTAATATGTATTTTTTTTCTTGCAGATATTCCATAAAGCTGTGTTTAAATTATTGACAGACTCTGCATCTTAATATATAAAAATGGTTTCACGACTTTCTTGTGATTATTTTATTTTCAAATTTTATAGAAAAGTTCTTTATAAATAACTGCAAATTCTCAATTGACAAGAAATTGAAAAATGAATACCAAATATGTCTTAATGAATATTAAATAAATATTTGACATTTGACATTTGACATTAACTTTTTTTTTGTTATATAGATATTTTCTATAAAGTTGTGTTTAAATAATTTCTTGAAGAATAGAATAACGATTATAATCGAAACGATTGATAAACGATTGATAGACGTATCTCGTATGATAATGATTAAATAGATGATTTAATAGAAAATAAAATGAATATCTGATTATTTAATACAAAATGCCAAACGAGTCTTTCTTGTTTGTGGTGACGATTCATTTTGAATTTTAATGATACATCCTGTTATTTCAATATTATTTCAAGACTGGAATGCAGTCGAGTGCACTTAAAATGTAATTGGAAAATGATCGATATATATGCCTTACACACCAATATCACCTGCAGGTGATATTGAGGCTCTACAATCTAATTTCAATCGACAGAACGTAAAAATTACACTTACACTTTTCTATTTTTTTTTTTACACAAAAAGTAATTCGAAAAGATACTATATAATAAAAATTCAAAAAATATCGTGTGAATATTAGTAATCAAGTAATTACATACAAATAAAAAATAATTCAAATGTTATGATGTAATATACGATTAATATTGCATAGTATGACTTTCATAAAACATTTTCATGCCAAGTTTTATCGATTCGGAATGTTGTGTGTGCATGGCGACGAAGTATTCACAAAAGTAATGAGTCATCTACAATACTTGGAGTAAGAGTAAGAAATAGATCAATTACAATCGATTATTCTTACATTCGACTATGATTGGTCAATTTCTTTATTCTTCTTACTCCGTATTGTATTGTAGAAAACGCATAATATTGAGTAATCGTAGGCCACAGTGAACTGAAGAATAAGGTTGTACTATTTAGATATATCTATATGATGATGTGTGCAAAAATCTTTAATTTTTTATTGCATTTCGGTAACACAATCGCCATTCTTTTTAATTTTATCTTAAGTAAAATGCTGTCATTCACGGAAAACAATTAATTTCATTTGTTTTGACTATTTTCAAACATTCTTTCATCTTGAACAGATAAATCCATTAAAAAGATCGGTCATTATATGTAAAATTGAATTGTGAAAAATGTTGAAAAGATTGTAAAAAAGATAGTAAAAAAAAGTTTATTTTCATTATAATTGGTTAAAGTTTACATAAATTACTAATTTATATAAATATATATTTTAATCTTTCAATAAGATTAAAATCCTATTAACATGTGAATACATAATTTGTAAGATGAAACTCTTAGTTTGAAATTATATATTCAAATTTTATTTACAGACAATTTAATATTCAAACGCAAATATTTCTTTTAAATGTAAATTTCATTTTTAAGAATTTCATTTTCTAAGAAACACATGATCAGTAAGTATAATGATAATAGTAATCAATACGATAGCATGGTTTTTGAAATATTATCTATAAAATATCTATAAGGCAAGAATATCGAAATTTTAAGATAATTGATATGTACATGTATCGACTTCAATACAAAACTTTTGTACAAAAAAATAGTTTATTTAAAAAAAGAAGAAAATAATAATTTCTTAAATACTAGTTAGTCAGAGAGCCATTTAAAGCAAACAGATTCAGTCAGGATGAAGCATGATCAATAAATCCGTGCTTTGCAGAGGAGAGCTGTGTACTTCATTGCCGGTATGGAAAAATTAGACAACCAGCAGAAGACCTGGAAGAAGAAAAGCATGAAGTCAAGTGTGGTCACTGAGGTAGCGACGCAATGCGTGCAGGTGGTCGTGCGATGCCGACCGATGGACGAGCGGGAGATCGCACGCAATCACATCCGCGTGGTCGATGTGATCCCGTCCAGAGGCGCGGTTGAGGTGCGACATCCACGCGACGATCCGTCCAGCGAGACTGTTAAGGTGTTTACCTTCGATGCGGTGTACGACTGGAATTCCAGCCAACAGGAGCTATACGAGGAGACGG